TTACACAATTTTAAACAATAAAATGGAAATATTTTAATAATAATATTCTACACTATCAAGGTAAATTAAAAATGAAAAGGAAATACTTCAATAATAATATTCTACATCATCAATACTAAAGACATATTTTAAACAATAGTAAAGGTAAATTAAAAATGTAGCGAAAATTAAAAATGAAATGAAAATATTTCAATAATAATATTCTAAATCATCAATTAAAAATGAAACGAAAATTTGGTAAAAATATCATTGCATTTGATATTTTAGTTTGCTAATTGATTAATTGACTAAAAATAAAAGAGAAGTAATTGGATGAAAATAAATATGATATTACTAATGGATTGAAAATTTAAAAGGAAATGAATATTAATAATTGACTGCAAATAAAAAAGGGAAAATAGCACTTTTTCCCCTGAGTTATATACTTATAGCACTTTTTCCCCCTCAATTATTTAGGTAAGCACATTAGCCCCCTCAATTATTTTAAAAGTGGTAGTTATCCCCCCTAATATATTAAATTGACATTTCTACCCTTAAAGTAAACATTTTATTTATTTTACTTCTCCAACAAATTATTGCGTATACGTAGGGATCACCACGGTTCGGTTTGAACTGAACCAGACACTATAGCAATCGAATTAAAAGTTTCCGGTTATGATTCAGATCGAGAACCCAATATTTGGATTTCAATTTATTAAAATTATGAATCAAAAAAATTGGATCCTAAACCGTGAATCAGCGGTTCCGGATCCGATTCGCGATTTTGAACCGTCTTTATTTTAAAATTTTATTTTTTATTTTAAAATAGTCTAACTTCAACAATAAATGTATTTTATTTTTTTCAGTTCGAAACATGAACCGTCCGTTCCAGTTCGCGATTTTGATAAACTCTAAATATCGAGTTTCGATTCTAAATTGTAATTGAAATATTTCGGTTTGGTTGCTATAGTGTTTGTTTGGTTTGAAACAAATTATGATCATAATTTGATGGAGATGAAAAATAAATGAAATATTTATTTTAAGGGTAAATATGTCCATTTAACATTTCAGGGGGAAAAACAGCCACTTGAATAATTAAGGGGGAAAAGTGCTATAAGTATATATCTCAGGGGGAAAAAGTACCATTCTCCCAATAAAAAATTATTCATAATTGACTAATATGAAAAAAATAAATGGTTAGATCATTGCATTTTAATTAAAATGGAAGGGAAACTAAAATTGAACGCCAATATTTCAATAATAATATTCTACATCATAAATAGTAAATGCATATTTTAAACAATAGTAAAGGTAAATTACAAATGGAACAGAAATATTTCAATAATAATATTATACATCCTCAATTAAAAATGGAACACAAATTAGGTAAAAATATCACTCCATGTAATATTCTAATTGACTAAAAATACAAAAAAAATAATTGACTGAAAACGAATATGATATTACTAATTTATTTAAAATATAAAAGGATCGCTAATTGACTAATATTATACCATTATATATTTTCACCGAGTCACCCATCCTGATCAATTGAAGGTGTTAGCTCTAGACGATGATGGACAAGATTGTGTTGCTACTACCAATGTCGTCTACAAAGAGGTTTCAACAATGTGTAAATAAAATCGTTGATATTATATTTTTTAAATGACAAAATTGCTATATGTATAGACAAAAAAAATATCCTCCATACAAATGAATTAAGATAACAATTCATTCATATAACTGAGTTGCTAGAAAATGAACACATTTGTATAATTTATAAAAAAAAATACTAAACAATGATAAAAAAATCTCCAAAGTTATAACACTACATGCATACATCTACACATTAGCTATTAATTTGAGCAATTATTTGCTTGAATTCATACAATGATAATATAAAAACACATAAATGATCCAACCCGTATATTCAATTGAACTATATAATATTTGATGTTCTAACTTAAATAATTATATACCAATCCAAATATTCTTAATATATTACAACAAATCTATTCCGTGCATCGCACGGGTGCAAATACTAGTTATGTGTAAAATGATAATTTTAGTCCACTATATCACTAACAAATTATGTTAATATTAATAACGCATTTTATATTTTCAAATTATTGAGAGACACCTTAGTCATTTTTTTTATTCATACCATTTTGTATTAGTCACACACATTTTTTTTTTTTTTTTTTGCATTGGAGTGTAGCTAATATTGCACCTCAAATTCTCAAATTGTTTTAGTCATTTCATAGAGTTTTCTCAAATTTTCTCAACTAAATATTCATATATACCGATTCTCTTCATTTGTAATGAAGAATTGCTAGTTTTCTAAGATTTATAAACATATATCTACTTATCTTTAACTTTAAAGTTAAATATTAATTTACTGGTTAGAAAATGAATTTATCTTTCTAAATAATCAAGGTGATATTTATATGCTTGGTTTCATATTTATATATTAGTGTAATATATGAGCAAAATGTATTATTTGTAATGTTTTTGTTTCTTACATAAATTCTTGAAGAGCATTTAAGTAAAATGGATGTTCGATCAAATAACATGCATTGATTTGTGAATTATAATATGCATATTCATATTAGTTTTTCATATTAACATTTCTTTGTGTGAACAAACTATTTCATAACCTTTTTTTTTTTTTAATATTTGTCAATGATCTAATATGCTTGTTTTTTTTTGTGATGTCTTGTTGCAAATGAAAATTAAAAATACAATTGTGACAGAACCACTACTCTTTTTTTCTTTTAATTGTTTAAAAAAATAGAAATGACATATGAATTGAAAGTGCTTATTGATTGAAGACCCACTCCATCTTATTGACATGAAAATAACGATGTACATAAATTCATTATAATATTTATTTCTAGTAATATTTAGTAAACTAATTATAAACCAACACCAATTTTGAATTTTTAGCTACACTCCAATGGCAAAAAAAAAAAAAAAAAAAAAACAAAAAAAACAAACAAAAATGATATAAATAAAAACTTTTTGTAGTGTTATATTTTACTTTTAGTCATATTAACTTTTGAAGTGTTATATTTTACTTTTTGTAGTGTGCTACATATTATTATTACTTGTATTGAATCTACTCTTCAAATAATTTTGAAATAATAAGTCTATAATTAAAAGACATATGAGATACAGACCTGCGACTTTTCTTATGAAAAAGAATAATGGTATCATCAAACTACAATGTGATTAGCAAATGACATATTATAAAACTAAATAGTACGGAGTACATATTATTATGTGTAATCCGGCGAGAAGCCTACCACAGTGGTGGCCTTCTCGTCCAGAGAAGGCAACCCAAATCTGGGTTGCCTTCTCCACCGATCGTCGGAGATGGTTCGTGATCGGCGACCGATGAGTCATCGGTCACTTTTTGCCAGAAAATACGTCGGAAATACGCCGGATCTTCAGTGACCTATGATAGCAGGTCATTTACTTGTATTTGGGCTTCACTGCATCAAAATGCATTGTTAATGGGTGTAATTGCACCTTTAAAAAGTTGGAGGATTTAAATGACTCTTTAGCAAAAGTTTGAGGGTCTATTTGACCCTTTTTCCCAAAATTTAAAAAGCTACTCAAAGCAACTTTTTAAATTAGCTTTCTGAGAAAAGAAATTATATCAATCAACTATCAGCTAACAGCTAATTTACGAAACACCTTTATACAATCAGCTAATATTATCAACTAGTTATATCTTCACATTAACGCAATCAGCTAACAGTTAACCGTGATTTACCAAATATTGCCTTTCTATTTTTTTTTTAAAGTAAATCAGCCACCTCCAAGGACGTCCACAGGCTACTCAACCATGTTGAAAAATCCAGGCCATTCACATTAATCGTTGGCAACCCACAATCACGCCAAACACGCCTAGAGTAAACACAAAAGAAACCAAATCTTCATTGCACTCTGATCTCCACACTTTGGGCATGCTAGCTAGGCTCACTACTTCTATACCCTTCTTTGGTATAAATTTGTAGTAGTAGGCAACACATGAGTGGACCTTCAATTTCTACAAATGAGACCATCCAATGATTAAAACCTAGATGTTGTGCATCAAATTCGCGTCTTCTAAAATTTAGTTATTAGTTGTACGTAATACTATTTCTTTTTCAGAAAGACACGTCATGGTTCTCGACTGCTTTGTAGCTCGTACTAGTACTAGTAAACAAAATTCCAAATATAAAACAAAATTTATTACGAAAATTTGCATCTTGATTGATTCCTAGGATAGCAAAAATTAAATGGTCATACATGTGTTTCGCATGTTCTTTATTTTTATGTCACTTTTTTTTTTTTTTTTTTACATTGGTAATAATAAAATAAAATTTATAACAAAATTGATGAGATAAGAAAGGCTAAAATAGCCACACATAATACATAATTAGAGTGACAGCAATTAAGTCATTAATTATAATTGAGGGACAAATTTAATCATGGGAAAATGAAAAGTATTAATTATACATATATTATAGACTCAGTTCATGAACCCAATAGAGTAGTTCAAGTGGTATATGAACTCTCTTTGTGGAGAGGACTTGGTGACAGAGAAAGTCCTGGACGGTTTACAAAAAAAAAAAAAAAAAAAAAAAAACTCAGTCCATGAATTATTACCATACACAAATTTTTCTCTTTTTGAAAAGATACAAATTTTTTCTCTTTAATTATGTGTAAAATGCTAATTTTAGTCCACCGTACCACTAACAAATTATGTTAATATTAATAACGCACACATTTTTTTTTCTATTAGAGTGTAGCTAAAAATTAACATTGCACTTCAAATTCTCAAATTATTAAGACATATTAGTCATTTTATAGAGTTCTCTCAAATTCCCTAAACTAAATCTATCATTTATATGTACTGATTCTCTTCATTTTTAATGAAGAAGTGCTAGTTTTCTAAAATTTATAAACATGTATCTACTTATTTTTAATTTTTGGTCAGAAAATAAATTTATTTTTCTAAATAATCAAGATGATATTTATACCTTTGGTTTCATATTTATATATTAGTGTAATATATGGGGGGCATACGTGACACTATACACAAATTACGAGTATGATCTCTCTTAGAATTCGTCTAAGAGACAAACCTGTATGGCACTAAGGGAACAAGTGGAAATGGGTGCGAGGATATTGTATTGGCGAGAAAGGTATTTGAAATTTGAGCCATTACTACTTTTCTCTTTATCAGTCTTTACTGTTCCCATCCCCCTTTTTGTACCACCCTCCAGGCTCCAGGGCGATTGCAAATTCCAGATTTTGGACAGAGTTTTCCATTCTGAGACTTCATTTTCCCATTGTTTTGTCAAAAATGTGGACGCCTAACAAATGCCACAGGTTTTCGATGATCCCTTTAGAAAGAGCTTGATATGCTTGTTTTGCAGCATTACGGTGTGCTTCCAGAGTTAATTCATCGCCAAGAAGCTCACTCACAGCTTCAACAAGGGTGTCTCGAGAAACCTACCAAATAAAAACTATTACAAACTAAAAACTCCAACAAAAAAAAACCAATAGCGTTCTTTAAAATCGAAAACTGGAAACCATAATTCAATATCATTTTTGATATAATGGAAGGTATAGACCATAGTATATAGATAACAAGATTACATACCTGCTGGACTGACAAAGGATTAAGCTGTTGCATCTGCTTTGCCATGTGTGAGAAGTGACCAATGTAAGGACCTGTTACATTAGACAAGAATGAAACTATTCGTTTAACACCGCATGAAAAGCAATATTATACATAATGGCCCTGTTTGGTAAAATGGCTGTTAGCTGATTGTCTTAATTAAAGGGTATAAATAGTTGATAACATTAGCTGATTGTAGAAAAGTGTTTGGTAAATTAGCTGTTAGCTGATAGCTGTTTGGTATAATTTCTTTTCTCAAAAAGCTAATTGAAAAAGTTGCTTGGAGTAACTTTTTGAATTTTAGCCTTTTGGAGTTGTAAAAAGCAAATTAACCAAACATTTATATTGATATTTTAACTAAATCAAAGTAATAGTGGTCAAATAAGCCAAAATTGGCCTATAGGCCAATTTTTTACCAAACAGGGCTGGTGAAAACACTAAAGAAAATGACCTGTCAGAACAGCACATCCTGCTGCAGCAGCTTCTGAAATGTTATGACCAGCTGATCCAGGTAAAAAAGAACCTCCAACTACAGCAATAGGCGTTAGACTATAGAATTTTCTTAGTTCACCTGCAGAACATAATAACAAGGACATTAAAAACATTGCTAAGTCTTCCCAAACTTCTTAAACTTTGAAAAGAAAAAGGTGATTGCTTTATTTAACATTCATTACATTACAAACTGAGCCTTGAAAGGCCAATTATGGATATTTTAGAGAAAATGCCCAAGAAATACAAAATAGATATCAGAGCAAACCAAGGAAAAATAAATTTTATTGATTTCCTTAAAGGAGGCAAGGAAGGAAGGAAAATCATAAGCAGCCAACAGAATACCTTCTGGTACTTGAAGATTGGCATAACAAAAGTTAGTAAAGACATATATAATTACAAACCTAATGTGTCAACCACATAGATGTTTGTTTCTGGCATTATTTTATCATTACGGGACCTTAAGGCTACACTCAGTTGTTCTTTCTGCAACTCCTGCATAATTTCAGGGAAGAGATATTAGAAATGATGTGTCATGCAGCAAAACAAAAAATGAGCTCAATCAAGTGATACCATAGCATATACAGTTGATTGAATATATGAATAAATAAATGACAGCTGCATTAGAAGAACGCTTTTATATCAACTCCAAGAATCAAAGTATCAAACTGCTTTGCAGTGACAGAAGAATCTTTACTGGTTTTTATGCACACTACATTCATTCACATCCAATAACAGCCCTACATGCATTACATAAAAATCATACCAAAGCAATTTCTTGCCCATGTTGCGGATGTCGAGGCACAATGATAGTAAATATATTCCGATACATTTGCTTTAGTGCTTTGTGGACTTCTAACATGACTGCATATCAACAATTTCAGTATTTCAAACATCAGTAACCAAAGTTAACTATACAACTTCAACAAAGAAACCGCAAAAAATTAACTCTGGCAAAGCTCTAAAGTCTAATCTCACAACCTACACCAACTTCTCTCTTTGTCCATCAAACCATTCCTTCAAGCAGCAAAGCCATAAAATGCAATACAAGTTTTCCCCTGTTAAGAGTCCCACATTGATAAAATAAGAGAGTATATGGGTTTATAAGGTCATCGGTTAGACCAGCTAATTGGTTGGATTCAATCTTTTAGTATGGTTTGGCCCATGTGCATTATAGCCCAATTGAGTGACCCTAGTCCAATCTAAGATTATTATAACATCCCCAAAGGAAAATGAGAAAGGGAACAGAGTCCTCATTGCCATAACACAGCCATCATTATATATAATTTATTTACTATGTAAAGAGAGTATTTTTAATGTCATATCTCGTATGCAGTCTTATCCAATGCCTACTGCTCACAGGAAACATTTTTGGGTAGGGGTGTGGGGTGGTAGAGAGGAAGGCTCGGAGGACATAAGGTTTTAATCCTTCCCAGAAAAGTAAGTTCATAACATAAGTTTTGGAAAAGGGTAACTGATTCCACTTGTATAATAATACCTTCTTCTTCGCCTTTGTGAATGGAAGAAGCCAACCACATCTTTTTCTCAGCAAGCTGTACCTTCAAATCTTCCAAAACTCTATTATCCCTTTCAGCAGTGTCAATGTTCTCTACAGCTGAAGGAAACAGAACAATTTACTAGGATTCTGTAGGTGAAAGTCACTATTTGCAAAATTGCAAGTAGCTTAATAGTGGTAGGTGTAAAATGTCAAAGCTGGTCATCCTTCTGTTAAGCTAAAACCTTAACAGGAGCCAGATATTTTTTCAACAGTTTTTAGAAGGAATGCATTAAAAGGTCAAACATAGTGCACAAAGCTTCCACACATGGTCAAATGGTCAATACACCAAGCCCAACCTTCAATAATTTTAGTATTTTATTTTTAGCAAAAAGGGGTTTATAGTATCAAACTTTGGGCATACCATACTTTAGGTCACCGCAAAAGTTAATGATAAATGGCGAAGCCTGCAGCAGCTGAAAATGGATTCCTTGTGTAGTGCTCTATGACAGTAATAAAAAACAAAGTATCAGCAATAACAAAACACAAAAGCTAATTCCACCATAGAGAACATATCATGTATAAAGACTTACCAATGGGACAATCAGTGAAAATTTTGACAGCAATAATGATGTCAAGGGAAGAATCACCGGTAGAGACCAATTTTGATATGACGTTCTAGACATCCTAGCATTAAGCAATGCCAAGGTGATCTGCAAAGCAAAACCGATAACTGTAAATATAGGTAAAAGACAACATACATAGTCTATGGGTATTACAAAAACCCAAAGCATGCAAAACAGAAGCATCATAAAGCTGGATATAACTTCTAAGTTCTAACACATCTTTGGCAATGAGAGGTGGAGAGCATTAGTTGAAATACGATGTTAGTAAATATATTAGCACAATCTTAGTTCAACAAATTGTACAAATGACACATACATTTAAAATGATACGAAATGCGTACCCCATTTTTTGCAGCACACATAATAAGATTTGGCCAAAGTTCACTTTCCATCAATATGACTGCAGTTGGCCTCCAGTAACAGAGAAAGGCATCAATGGCATGAGGAATGTCAAGAGGAGAGAACTGGTTTCAAATGCAAAACAATAGCAAGTCAGAGAAAACTCATTTTCACTACTTACTCAAGGAAGAGAGTCCAGAAGCAATCTAAAATCAAAGACTCAAACTCTCAAAATGTAATTTGGGATAGAAAATGTTTGCACCATTTTAGTCCAAAGACATACATCTGCACTAGAAAGTGTTAGAATCTGAAAAAATGAAAAATAATTTCATGGGGCATTATCTTGGAAGTAAATAGCATCTTACTACTGGGCCTTAAATAGAAATGTGACGATTATCAGTACCTGATATATAACATTACTTGGAAGCAGGTTTTTTATAACTTCACTGCAAGAAAGTAAAGAACAAAGATGAGATTTTCATTTTCTTGTCCAGTGGAAATAAAAAGATAGGTCCAAAAATAATATCATTTCTTTATGACGGTAGTTGTCAACTACGGAGTATAAAATAGTTAAATTTTATGATGGCTAAGCAAATTACATGGAAACCATTTCAAATTCCTATAATACAAATCTACTATCCTCACAACTAGTAGCAAGTGACACTACTTTTCTAGATTAAGTTTACCCAAAATGAAAATGAAAATTTGAAAAAATGTGCATATTTCTAAGGAAAGGCCAAAAAAGGAACTTCTCAGGCTATAACCAATATAGTCTTCAATATGGCCCTGTTCTACTCTGCTGGTAGGCTGGTTCCTGATAGTTATTCACTTTGGTTCCTTGTAGAATCATCCTGGTCTACTAAAAGTATGTCTGGTCAATCCAAAGCATGACAGGTAACTTTGTGTCACAACTTCACCTCCCTCTTCTCTTTCTCAATCTCCTATGTCTCAAATCTTTTCATTCTCAATGCACAAATGTCTATTGAGCACACCTTTTAAATGTTTAATTATTCTTCAAATCACCACAATCTCACAATTCTTATCATCCAGCTTTTATAAGGAGAAATAATAACATTGCTAATGAAATCCATTACTATAAAATAGAACCTTAAAATTTGCACAAGGGAATACTATAAAACACATTGCTAAGGTTATCATTTGATGTGAAATCCATATCAAAAGAACAATATACACCCCACAGTCAAATGCATAAAAACAAAGGAAGCTGAAATACTCTCTGGACGTCCAGTCCACTGAGAAAGCTTACCTTCCCCTCACACAACTAGAGCCGTTTACATCCTGTCAGCTGACCATCGGTTAGAAATTGAATTTCATACTAGAAAATTAATTTCATTCTTGTAGATCTTAGTCCATGAATTCCAAGGTCACATTGATTTTCTGTCAGAATGTCAAACACAGTATAAATTGCACCAGTCCAAAATCGCATCCCTATTAAACTCCCCCAAATCCTTAGAACACTCCATCACTCAAATCTAAAGCTTCATATTTTTTAGAAAGACGAACTAAGATGAAGCCATACCAATTATCGTTATTATTATTAGTTAAAAATCATAAGCAAGATCTACCATGATAATGAAAAATGTAAATTCAAATTTCATCTCACAATGCTGATGTTGTGGTTGTAGTCATTAGGACCGTTACATCCGGCCTCCTTTCTATGCAGCATTTGATCACTGGAATCGCTGCCATTCCCTCGCCTGTTTCCCAAATTATAGTAAAAAATAAATTGAAATTACTGATAACCAACCACATTACACACAAATATCATTAGTTCATAAAAGAAAAAGTAAAACCTCAACTCGAAGTTCACTCAATAGTTACTGGGTACATTTAAACATTATTACACAGTAACACAGACAGGCATAACTATACTTATGGTTAGGGAATGGTTATTTGTTTATTTTCATTTCTAATTTTCGACTAGTTTATGCAATGTAGATATGAACATTAAACGAGGTATTCAATCTAATTCCGCCACCGGATGTAACGAGAAAGGAGGAGAGATTCACCTAGCGAGACGGCATGGAACCAGACCAGGGGACCAGCGGGACGAGGGAGAGAAGGACGACCAAGACGCTCGACCCACCGGAGGGGATGCTCGAGGCCGCGGCGTTTGCGCCACCGCAGATGGAGGTATAACAGTGGCGACAGGCCGTACGTAAGGGCTCTGTAAATCGTATACAAGATTTCACCACGTTCCCTAGCCATTCACGGGCTCAAAGCACTGAGAACTGTAATTCAGTAAGAGTGAGTTAACTGAGAATGGCAAAAATTGAGAAAATAAATAAATACTTCGTAAACAAAAGTGAAATAGACGGGTGCGGGGCCTCTCTAATTATGCTATGATTAGGTATGCATGGTGCATACGGATGCAAAAATAACATCATTTTATATTAAAACGCGTATCTTATTTAAAAAAAAAATAGTTTCAATTCTCAATAACAACATTATGTTATTCATTTTTTAGTTCATTCATTCTGAATTTTTAGTTATGAAATTCTGGATGTATAGTTATGCAATTCTAGATGTATAGTTATGCAATTCTGGATTTATAGTTATGAAGTTATGGATGTATAGTTATGCAATTCTATATGTATAGTTATGAAGTTATGGATGTGTACTTATGCAATTTTGGATTTATAGTTATGAAATTATGGATGTATAGTTATGTAATTCTGGATGTATCGTTATGAAATTATGGATGTGTAATTATGCAATTCTGATTTTTTTTTTAAGTTAGATGTCAAAAAGACGTCGTTTTTGCATCCGGATGCACCATGCATGGTGCATACGAATGCACAACATAACGATCCCTCTCTAGGCATAACGTGCACTACGGCACACAATGCATTGTGCGCCCTGCCCCAAAACGACGTCGTTGTACATTTTTCCGTGTTTGTGGTTAACTTCTTAAAAAAAAATTCTCATGTTTCGAATGTACAGAATTTTATAACAGAATACACATAATCTTTTTTGAAAGGATAATACACATAATGTAACATAATACATAATACATAATACAATAAACTCTTAACATAATACACGTAAACTCTTAACTCTTTAAAAAAATCTCATGTTTCGAATGTACAGAATTGTATAATAGAATGTACAGAATTTTATAACAGAATATACAAAATTTTATAACAGAATACACATACACTCTGTCACGTCACTTCCCCACACAACTTAAGAAAATGACGTCATTTTGAAATACGCAGGACGCACATTACTATGTGCACCGTGGTGCACGGTATAACGATTGGTCTCTCAACGCTAATTCCTAATTCATAAAGTGCGGTTAATATTCATATTTCAAACCCCCCATACACACACACACAAAATAACGAGGTATAGGCTTAGGATCCATTTGGAAATACAACAAAATATTTTTTAGAAAATAATTTTCTAAAAATGAATCATTTTTTCAAAAAAAAAAAAAAAAAAAAAAAAAGCTAACATTTATAAATATTTATTTTAATGGTAAATATGTCCATTTAACATTTCAGGGGGGAAAAGAGCCACTTAAATAATTCAGGGAGAAAAAGTTCTATAAGTATATAATTTAGGGGGAAAAAGTGTCATTTTCCCTAATAATAATAATAATAATAATAATAATAATAATAATAATAATAATAATAATAATAATAATAATTATTATTATTATTATTATTATTATTATTATTATTATTATTATTATTATATAAAAATAAAAGGAAAAATTGTATTTTTGGTCCTACAGTTATACTTGTGGTACAGATTTTTTTTTTTAAAGCAACTGTTAGAACATGGATTGATGAAGCAAAGAAGCAATAGAGTCGGGAGGGACATAGTCTCAAAACATCGAACCAGCCTGTGAGAAGGCGGTTGAAGCTAGAGCATGAGCAAGTAAATTAGCTTATATAGGCACTAAAGAAACAAAACAATAATTAAAGGTAGCCATAATGGTCCTACATTGGTCAATGGCTAAACCAACATAGAGGAAGATTGAACCCTGACGAGAAGACAAGCTAGTATGAAACCCCGAGCAGTCGGTGAATAAGTAAACTGATAACGAGCTACGATCTTTAAGAACCGCTGTCTATTAATTGACGTAAATATATATTAGACAGCGGTTATTTAAAACTGTCGTCTATTAAGTGGCGTAAATATATATTAGAAGGCGGTTATTTAAAATCGCCGTCTATTAAGTGATGTAAATATATATTAGAAGGCGATTATTTAACAACCGCCGTCTATTAAGTGACGCCGTATATAATAGACGGCGGTTATTTAAAGACCGCCGTCTATTAAGTGTCGTAGTATATAATAGAAGGCGGTTATTTAAAGACCGCCGTCTATTATGTGCCGTAGTATATAATAGAAGGCGGTTATTTAGAAAATCGACGTCTATTATGTGTCGTAGTATAACAAAATATAATAGAAGGTAGTTATTTAAAAAACCGCATTCTATTAAGCGACGTAGTATATCATTTCTGTAGTAGTGTCCTTACAAGCCATGGACTCGACCATAAAAGGCGAAAAGCACCCTACAAGCCGCCCACTGCATGCTGCCAAGAAGCCTCCACCATGATTCAAAAGAACAGCGTCGTAGGACGCTTCTCCGGATGAAGGTCGAAAACCAGCGTCAATGAAGCAAGATGGCCAGGCAGTCACAGGAAGAACGACGGGAGACGCTGACGTCGGTGGTTAACGGCGATGAATCTGCCTCCACGCAATAAGAACCAAGGATGCCAGCGCCCAGGTCTTCTTCGACCGAGGTAAACAATTGTCCCCAACAGTCACATTTCGTGCTCTCCAAAGATAGTATAGAATTGCTACAACCATACCAACATGATCCTCAGACAAAGTACTCATCACAGATGAAAATCACATAGAGAAATCTAGACAACCCTTAAGTTAATCTCTAAGTTATATGCATTACCATCTTTAACCCATAAGTTATGCAGGGAGTGGTGATTTCAGTCATTGAAGGACCAAATCAGCCACTTTATTAAGCGACAAATTGGTTGTACAAATAGTCCCTGAAAGACTAAAATCGACAATCCGTGCATAAATTGGGAGTTAAAAATGATCACATATATAATTTATGAACTAAGTTTGTACCATGGATATAACTGAAGGATAAAAAATGCAAATTTTCCCAAAATAAAATTATAAAATAAAATTTGCCAACTAATATGAAAACGTGACAAGCACCTTGTACTCAGATGGCACCTCTGGGACTCCTTGAGAGAAGATCATAGAACAGAAAGAGTAAGTATAGAACATATATTACCTTGTAGCAGAGTCAATAGCACTAAAAAAAATTAATGTGAAACGTTGCTTTAAACATCATTATTAAAAAGAAAAAAAAAAAAAAAAAAAACCTCGGAGAGTGAATATTATTTATCCCAACTAAAGTGTATTAGTGTATTTAATTACGACTATTAAAGTAGAGTAGTTATGCCGTGCATCCGTATGCACCATGTATGGTGCATACGGATGCAAAAACGACGTCGTTTTATTAAAAACGCGCGTCTCCCCTTTTAAAAAAAAATCCAGGTTCGATTCCCAGCAACAGCATTATGTTGTTCATTTATTCTGGAATTTTAGTTCATAGATTATGGAATTTTAGTTCATTGATTCTGGAATTATAGTTCATCGATTCTGAAATTGTAGTTCATCGATTCTGAAATTGTAGTTCATAGATTCTGGAATTTTAGTTCATTCATTCTGGAATTTTTAGTTCATAGATTAGATTCTGGAATTTTAGTTCATCGATTATGGAATTATAGTTCATCCATTCTGGAATTTTAGTTCATATGTTGTCTGATCTCTAAGTTCAAATATAAGAATCGCGTGAAACACGTCGCATATGAAGGCATTCACCTGGTGTGCTTTACATGCGAAGTCTACGGCCATGCCCCGGAGGCTTGCCCAACGCTGCCCAAAGATCCAGCTGTGACGGAAGGTGGCCAGGTTCGGGAGGAGAACGCCCACCCCAACGTCGCGGCTAACAACGCTGATGCAGCCTAGAGGGTTCGTGTTGGAGACGCCCCGTTTGGATCATGGATGATCGCACCGGGGAGAAGATCACGGCCAAGGAACAAACCGCCCGAGAGAATCCAGAGAACTGATTGCAAATGAACCTTCGGCGGCGGCGGCTGTTCAGGATCCAGTGGGGACTCAGACCAGCAGGCTCCGGAGGAGCGGGACGGGACCGAGGCGTGCGGCTGAGGAAGACGAGCATGTGGTCGTGAGAGGTGAATAAGGAGGTTTGGTGATCCGGTCGTCACGCGTCTTCATTCCGGAGAACGTGGGTGATCTACCGTCACCAGTCTGGCAAACCACAAAAGAACACCATGTGGACCTGCCGGATCAGTTTGATGACGAAGGGGACGCAGTTATGGACCTGGAAGAAATCCCGACGCTAATTGGGGAGGGGCGGGCCGAGAATGCCGTTTGAGTTTTGATCTTTGCTTGTCGTTCTTTCCAGTGTTTCGTTTCTTGTTTTTGTGTTTTGTTTGGTTGTATCGTTTCTGTCTCTTTTCCTATCTTTTTATTTATTTTTTATGGACTGTTTGATCTGGAACTGCCAAGGGGCGGGCGGCAAGCGGGTCCACCGTGCCCTAAAGATTTGATCAGGGTCCATAGACCCGGTATTCTTGGGCTTTTTGAACTGAAGGTGTCGGGTTCACAAGCCAATGCTATTTGCTCCAAGTTGGGCTACGCCAACTGGATCCGTGTGGAGGTCTTTGGCTTCAGCGGGGGCATATGGGTTTTCTGGAAGGACTCGTTTCATGTAAATGTGCTCTTTACCCACCCCCAATTTATCCTTTTGCAGGTTTCGAACGCAGGTTCTACTCCGTGGTTTTTTGCCCCAATCTATGGTAGCCCGGTACATCACCTCCGCCGCCGCCTCTGGAAGGATCTGAAACAATCCAGTAGGAGGATAGCGGGGACCCCTGCTAGTGGCAGGAGACTTCAATGTTGTGGTGCACCAGGAAGAGACTAAAAACTACACTTCTTTCTCGAGTCAGCGCAGTTCTGATTTCGCAGGTTGGATTCATGACGAAGGTCTCATTGATCTAGGCTTCTCTGGGCCAAAACTTACATGGGTCAAGGATGGGTCCACAAATCACATTAAGGGGGCACGTCTTGATCGCGCTTTATGCAACCTGAGCTGGCGCTTGAGTTTCCGGAAGTAAACGTGACGCATCTCCCTAGGGTGGCGTCGGACCATGCACCGCTACTAATCCGATTGGACAGAGTGAGGCGCAATTCGGCTTCTCCCCGGTTTAGTTTCCAGGCTACGTGGCTAACTCACC